ACCCACAATAACCAAAGGCTAAAAGGAGAAAAGGAGTTAGTTGTTCCTCATCAACGATGGGAAGGATCAGATGTAGATTGGCAGTACTCTAAATATAGTTTGCGAACAATATTTTCTTTGTATGTATAGTGACAAGAGAGCATCAAGGGTCAGAAAAAAACCTCAATATAGGACTTACTCTCAAGGTAATCCCTCTTAAGTTATTTTGAGACTTCCTCCGGTTTGTAAATCCTAAAGGCTGGTTTCACTAGCTACGGAGTCGTAGTCGGAGTCGTAAGAGCGCTTACGACCTAGTGAAAATCGAAAATCGAGTCGTAAGGGGAGTCATAAGCTCGACGGAATCGGAGTCGGAAGAATCAGTACGTTTCCATTTCTTCCGATTCCGTTTACGACTCCGTAATTTATGATCCATTAACTCGGAGTTCGAAGCAGAGTCAGAAAAACCAACCAATCGCCAGGCCCGGAATCGAACATCGTGATTTGTTTATTCTTCCGCTTCTGCTTGCGACTCCGACAATGCAGTTTTCAGTAGATCGTAAGCGACGGAGTTATAAGCGGAATCGATGTTCTGCTTCTGACTATGTCGGTTTGATTTTCACTAGATCGAATCACTTTAGGCTTCTGATTACGACTGCGACTACGACTCCGTCGCTAGTGAAAAACAGCCTTAGGAGGGTTTGGAAAAAGCCGACCCCATGACGTGTATTTAACTTTTGTTGAAAGGCCAAGTGGCTTTACGCGCATTGTCATCCTCCCAAAAACATCCAATCAACGCGCGTGGAATATTATCCTCGGAGGAACTGGGTACATGTCTAAAAATAACTTTTGAGGATTACCTTGGGTATAAGGCCTGTATGGGATCGAGATGAACTCTCCTACCCTTCCCCCTCTGTCAACAGTGTCTATCAATAGTCATACCCATCAATCAGCAAAAGAAATGCTGAAAAAAGTGGTGCGCATTTAGTACAAAAAAACTGTTAACGATTAGCTTGCTTCCAGACTACTGTTCTCTCAAAAATCAGACAGGGAATATGGAGGGAGGGTTTTAAGACGAGAAGGTTTCGCCTCAACCTCTTCTCGCACAGAAAGTCCTTTTTGTGTTTGTGTTCATGGCAGTAAACCCTTGTCGGACCCTGACAGAAAGAGGCTAACTTCAAGCAGTGTACTCAAAACCAGGAACAGCAACGCCAAACAATCAGCAGTCAAGATTTAAGATACAAGATGTAAATAGAACTTGGTATCGAAGAAGGAGTCTTGGCTGTGAAGACGTAAGCAGACATGGCCATAAAGCTGTAAATTAGTGTGTATACTGGTGAACTTAGGAAGGTTGACTTGGTTCCCAGCGATCGCGCAGCAATAGATGCAGGCAAGACTGCTCAACACAGTACAGTGCACTTAAGTCTAGCTCAGGCAAATGAGTTAGCAGAATTTGAGAATTGTTTCTTAGTACATGCCGCTCGATCGACTTATATACTCTTTTCCCTATTAAGGATTCCTTGGCGCATATGAACTCACTAACTGCATCGAGCAGTCACATTAAAGCATATCAAAGATGCAACCAACCACCCTCCAAAGTGAGTATCATAAGGAATACTCAACGAAGAAATCACATCGACTCAGAAAAAATTCCGAGTTCCAGATGAGATTTGCACCCACAAGCCTCCGTGATCTAGCCGGACGCTCTAACCACTGAGCTACTGGAGACTCTATGGTGAGCAAAAGTGAAATGTGAGCCTTTGACTAGAACTGCATCGCGCGGTCACACAGCCAAATGTTAAGTTAGCGCATATGAACTCACTAACTGCATCACGCAGTCACATTAAAGATGCAACCAACGATGTCAAAGATGCAACCAACCACCCTCCAAAGTGAGCATTACAAGGAATACTGAGTTTTTAA